GGCCGTTCTTATTAAGACTTCTTTAGTTATAAATTGAGTTGACATGCCGCATGTCCGCACCTAACAAATTCAAATAACCAAACACAATCGAACCAAACAATCAGAAAGACCTCAACCATGAAATAACGAACGGATTAAACGAAGATGACATTGTACATTTTACAACTCAACACCACCATTAAAACTATAATGCAACCTGCACTGTCATAGATAAACCATCAGGAGCAAAGTGTTGAATTTGGCGTTGGTGTAACAATTCGTAAGAAAGTGGCTTCGGCAGTTCGGCTACTTATATATTTGTCATCGTCATAAAATGATTCTGAGGGGCGGATGAGTTTTTGTCGATCGATCTCGCTATGGGAGGCGACCACACCCGCGCCGTACCCGACCGCGCCTATCTGTAAACACAATAAAGTCTAATATTTACGCTCGCTCCGACCTGTAAAGATACAATGAGCAAGTACACTATACTTCGACCAAGACACTACGATCTCAGATTGTGAAACCACTGGAGTAACCACTTGCCTCAAATGTTAAAAGATGTCATATTTCTGGAGAGTACCTGATCTGTAGTACAAATTTAGGAGCAGTAGAGCTCCTTGTGAAAGAGTTCATCCAGGGAAGTACTGTTACCTTATCTATTTTTGCCGCCACGTAGTAATATGAGCATTACAGGCACATGGGACTTATGTCTCATTTTGCTGTGCTTTTAATGCTCTGAGCGGCACTGCAACTGTTATGGACAGGCGTGTCGCTTACCACCAGGCGCACGACTTTTTCATCCCGTTACTTAGTATCATAAAAAAATAGATTCTTCGCTATTATATAGCCACGTATTAGGTATGTAAGGGGCACGGATTATAAGGTAAATGACAGATATGTGGAAACGAAAATCATTCAGTATATAATCTCAACACCCTTGAATAAACCATGCCAGGAGTTGATGCATATATTACTTGGAATCTAAACAAATTAAAGTCAAATTTTTCGAACTAAAAATCTACAATTTAATTTTTATTGAATTGATATTCAATTATTTTTTGAGAAATTACTCCACCAGTTTGAAATAATTATTAATACAAATATCGAACACTTCTAAAAAGTTGAAAACCAAATACTTAAATGAGATCCGCGGGTTCGTTCCGTGGCTTCGTTGGCATAACGACAGGCACGGTTTGCTAAAAGACGTCGGTTGGAATCCGGCCGGAAGGAATTTTTTATATTAATAATTATAAAAATCTACAACTCATCATACGCAACCTTTGAGAAATACGCCTATTCTCGTGCCAGTTTATATATAGGACATTTTATACCCCTATTAGCTTTAGAAACAAGTTGGAAACATATGCTGTGACTCTCTCCCCGCCTTAAAATACCTAACGCGTGGACTTCTTGTCGTAAACAAGCTATGCCGTTAGAGATAATGTTAAAGTGGACGTACTACGAAAATGCCCTTCAATTTAAATATATATTACAGAAATTTCTGCTTTGCCTGACAGGCAATAAACACCTTTTTCGTGTGTTGAATGTTCCATCTTCCGTTTATACAGGTTATTTGTAAAATTGCTCATTGTCTTAGCAATATTTGCGTTTCGTAATAGCTCAGATTAGTCGAGATAGGAAAGGTGTCTAGTACGGTTTTTGTTAGTGTTTATTTAAGGAAATTGGTTGTTTACTCTTTATTTTTGTTATTAAGAGGCTATATTTTAGAAAAGTTCAGGTACCCAAGTGAATATGTGTTTAAATAACATTTAAATTAGTAAGTCGACAAACCAATTAGACACGCCCTCTGTTTAAACACAATATAAACGTCTAATTTGTGTAAATATATACGTACCGTATACTTTGATCGACTAATACTGATACATAGATAACAAACGGATATTTTGTTAAGTCACCGTTACTTCAAAAAACTGAAAATCAAACATTCGAATCCACATACCTGAAAAGTTAACCTGTCAATACTTGACAGCTTTGATGGGCAGTTAATGAATAACAATACACTTTTACGTGGTGCATTATTAGTCGCAGACACATTTCAGAAAGCCATGGTTTATTATTGACAATAATTAGGGGTGCAAAACGAAAATGCTACCAAAAAACCAATCTGGAATCTCAAGGTTTTAGAAATAGAGTATTATTTCAATTACCTGCAGTCGTTAAAGTATTTCCAAAGTACAATAGACCAGAACGCTTATAATGAGGCTTTTTGAATCCTACTGCTGAGAATTTCACGGTGCCTTTTGTTGGCCACATACCCATTTCAGTGAACCCTGACTATGAATTCGGCAGTAGCGCCGGAATGTCATTGAGTAAGGACTATAAATAAATACAATGCGGTCATTGTATTTTTTAATTCAGTATAGTGAAATTCATACAGTTTTTTGCCAAGTTCTTGAGAATGCATTTTAATACTTGTCAAGGATTAGTAGTTTTGTGATTGTTTTAATGAGAATAGGAAGCATTTATCAACAAACACATTTTAGTGTAAAAAACGGTATGGTTGAAAATGCCTGCGTAGCTTAAAAGCTACGCTAGGATGTATTTTAATTTTAAATATATATGGGCTATTAATAAAATTTCGTTTACGCGTGATAAATATTAGGTTTTTTAAAGTCACCCCTACTATATAAATACATTTCTTTTGGTATTTTTATGTATTTTAGTTAGTGTGGGAATGTCGTGTTGACATCTGTTTTCCAGACACGGATCTTCAATTAACGGTGACAACTTGACATATTGTCGATACGTCAAACACGTGTTCAAGATGGCGCGTGCCAGTTTTTGTCAAACAGCACTTGAGACAGTCTCAGCACTTAAATCAAGAAAAAAAAATTTTTATGAGCCAAGTTAAAAATGAGGGTTTACATTTCCTTGTTGAAGCTTCTGTTTGTGTTTTTAAAAATTTACAAAATATAATGTAGTTTTATAAAATGAAGTATAAATAATAAAATTACTGTAAAATACTCTATTAATCAAAAGCATACCTCATACCACAGACACGAGTATGAACATTGCCTTATTTAAAAGCAAAGACCGCCCGCGTTGATGTCTTTCATATGAAATATCAAGCATTAGGCATATTCCGGGCAAGCTGGATCTATCGTAGACATTTTGTATTGATTGTTGCATAGAGTAATAAAAAAATTCTTTGTAAAACATAATTTTTACGTAAACTAATTTTAAAAAAAGTTTGTAAAAAAAATTATTTAACAAATTGGAAAATGTTTGTTTAAATAGTATTTTAAGCTGGATCAATCAATTAATTCTTATTATGAAAATAAATGTAACTGTTTTAATATGAAATAATTTTCTTTATTATTCGTTACCCTTATATCTCTGCATTGGCATAGTACCAAGTGTAATTTTGTAGTGCCTAGTATTGTTGCAGTATGTGTACAAATAGCAGACAGATTATTTAAAAAAATTCATTTTTCAATGAGCCCTGCGTGGGCGCTAGAGCAACACGTGCGATCGCGGCGTCTGTGCGCGCGCTCGCCACTCATTGGTTGGCGGGGACCGCCGCCCCTCCCATAGCGCGGGCGCAGGGGGAGACATGCTGACTCATCGCGATCCCAAGTCGTTACACAAGAATTTCTTTAAACATTTTAATAATATTTTGTTTAAAACCAAATTACCCCACAAATTATTAAATTAAAAAATATTTTTTTAAAGTAAATTTACATATAACACATAATATGTAAATATTGTATTTATTTTCCATACACAGAGTTTTCTTTGTTATTATTAAATTACTACACAAAACAGTGCGCATTTTAACAAACTTGCCCAAAAACTCCCTAACCCAATAACCTTATAGCAAAAAAAGTGACAGTTTTATTACAAAACAAAAGTGAAAGTGTCTAAGACAATTCTTTATAGAAATTCACGCGCAGATTTACAGCATCATAAAACAGTGCACACGCAGGTGTGGTATCTCGGACAGTTGTTGGACGTGATGGCGAATATCAACACATGATTTTTATTGTGATCTTTTGTGCACGTGCTACTTCTCTTTAGTTTATTCATGCGAAGGGAGAAAGGTATGTATTTCGGTACCTTAGCACAACATTTATATATAGGTATTTACATGATAAATAGTGTTCATAAATAGTAAATCTCTAACTGTACCTGCCGATAAAATTAATTTTGAAAAATTAAAACTTATTTTTCCAAATTTTTACCAGACACGTTTATGAGAAATGTGGAATTACAAATTTGAGAAACAAATATAAGTAAAAATTAATAAAGTTCTAAACATATGTCATGTGTCACTGACATATGTCATGTGTACACAAAACTACGGTCCATTATTTACCAAATTCCCCGCGCAACAACTTGCGAACACAAGCACTTGTAAAATAAAAAGACAAACGTCAAGTAGCGAGTTAAAGTATTTTTAATAAAAGACAATACTCTATTACGCAATTTCAAGCATTTTGACGTAAGGTATAATTTCGTTCGACCTGTCGTAAATTTATGTAAACAAAGACAGAAAACAATGTTGTGTTAATAAACTTAAAAATCCCTATTATCTTATACGTAGTTTTTATTTTGTAAAAGATACAAAGAAGTTCCCAACAATACAAATCTCATAATCCGAAGGAATGTCTCATTAAAGGAATGATCATTATCTATTAATCCAATAATTGCGCCTTTTTATATTCACTTGGCGGGAGCACTGCCGTGCCTCTAGATTCTTTCATCCATTAAAACCCAGTGCGTAACAACTTTACGAGTAACGATTGTGTATATATAGTAAACAACTTCATTGCATAAGAAACACAATAACCTAGTGACCTAAAAAAATAGTCCATATGAAGGAAGGATATTAAAATTCCATAATCAAAATCCTTGTAACATGTAGGGACAATTATCAACTAGTCAAATCCATTGCATTACAGAGACAAGGTTGACCTGAAAAGAAAAAAGTAAGGTCTTGTTTGAGGTGAGACCAATCGGGCGGCTGGCAGGTAAGGCCTCCCACCATCGGCGACTCCGCCTTGGGACGCGCGCCGGTTCGCCAGACGTTCCGGTGCTTTGACGGACCGCGCTCATGCCAAACTACGCGTGGGACCGCCCATCGCAGAATGAAGTGTCTGTGGCTGGTTGTGATCACTGTGCTGTGTTTGAGGTGCGAAGCCGTCGGCAACAAGCCTCGGAGAGGACGCGGCAGCATGTGGTGGCAAGTAATTTTATCTTCCCTTCGACGTAAAACCTAAGTTTCACTTATCATTTAGCATGAATGAGCGTAACTTTTAATTTTGACATAAAAAAGATATTGTTCGATTGAGATTTTTATATTCTAAGGTGCGAGGTAATTAATTTATGTCAAACTTCTAAGTTGCGTTCTTCAGTGTGTAATGTGTTACAAAATTGCACTATTGGAATAACTGTTATTATTATTTAACTAGTATTTTTATCGCATAACTCAAGCCCTATGCTAATAGTTCTAATAATTACCGTGAAATTCCTAAAAAAATATAATAAAAATACTATTTTTGTTAATTCAAATTACATACTCCAATTGTAAAAAAAATATTTATTTTGGCTATAAAAATTAATCAGATGTGGTCTATTTTTATACAAGTCAAAGTCAAATGCAATAATTTAGTTTCTATTTTTTACCAGGATAGAAAGTGTCGATTTTGTCTGCAATATTGCTTTTGCACTTACAATTAAGTTTAATAAAACGTAAACTCAAATGGTTTGAAGCACGTGGATGTTATGCAAAGCCTTTTGTCTTTTGTATCTTAGTAAAACATGACGAAAACTATTCAACATATTTAAAAACACGGTCACAAATAAAAGAAGTAGAAATATAATAATATATTCACTCATGAAATCATATTATATCTTTTAAAGTAAATTTTTTGAACCGTATTATTATTTAACGGGACTAACAACTTTTTACAAAAAATAGTTTCATGTAAATTATTTACTATATTAGCTTATTGATTATGCACACTGCTATTTCATGATAAATGAATAACATAAACTCTGTTATATCGGTATATAATAAATAACACTGAACAAAAAGTATGTAATACATTGTAATGAACACATTGCATCCCACGCTGTCTATAGATAATTAACAGATCGTTAAACAACTATAAACAAACTCTTGTGAGATCGTTAATTGTGCGCTAAAAAATAATGACTTTCAATACAACATTTCAATGTGCAGTTGATAATGTCGTAATTATAAAAATACATTACATATCAATATACAAGTATTGAACAAAATGTAGGTCACTGTTTTGATTTTCAAATAATTAATTATATCGATATTATAATTATTATAGATAATTAACTAGTCCTTTTTTAAAGTGTACTTTCTTTTTGTCTTTTTGTAATTATAACAAATTAGTTGGTGGAGTAATTACAGGCACATGGGACTTATCAACTTATGCCTTAGAGTGACGGGCGCAGTGGCAGTGCACCTCAGATCTTTGCGATTTAAAGCTCTGAGTGGCACTACAATTACAGCGTATAGCTTACTAAAAGGCGCACGACTTGTTCGTCCCGTTACTGGATGTTATAAAAAAAAGTAATTTCACTAAAAATAATTGAATATCATGATAGTAAAACATCCTAACATTCAATAAAACTTAAACAAACCCAGTTTACATTTTTTTTTAAACTATAGTTCAGGGTATTGGTTTGCATTAATATTAGACTTTGCCATCTCAGTCAGTCGTGACTATGGGATCTGTAAAGGGCCCGAATCGTTGGTTTGTTTGAAAAAAAAATATATACACGATTTACATACAAAAACTAGTTTCATTATCAATGTGTAACAATCGTTAAAACCTAGGCGCTCGATAATAACTTACAATTCAATATCTATAGTACTGTATATGAAAACATACAGGTGTAGAAAACTTACGTGCAGTCCTCTAATTGCCTATGTTAAAAGCCATCCAGACTTTCAGCATGAAATGTCAAATACTCATATCATTATTGTATATTTCGTAATATCATTTTAGGACACATAGTGTCATTATCAGACAAAAATATATGAAAACAAATAAGGCCTAATATAAATATGGTCGTGAGTAAATACACAAAACTGACTCGCGTACGACATTGTTATTAAGAACGCGCCTCAATTTACGTACTTACATAATTATATGTAGAAAAAATCTTATATAGCACATAAATTTTATAAAAAAAAAACATTCTCAAGTTATTTATTATGAAAGAACTTTCAATTTGAGAGTTAAGGAGCATTATTTATCTACTGTTAATATACCTATAAACTGGATTTTGAAATATGTATTTATCTAGTTTATAATAGTTTAATGTTAAACATTGTATTACATAATTTTGTATTTTGTGCACGTAAGCCCGTTATTACAATTATTTTGTCCTTTATTTGGGTCTGCAGGAAAAAATTTCTTATAGAAATAAGCTTTTATTAAATGTATTCTGTGCTTTTTCCTGTGCATTATTTTTTTTTAAATAGAAGAAAATACAAATTCAAAATTGGTACAGTATAGTTCAACTACAGAGGTTATTCTTACACACCGCAAGCACGCACACATACATTGTATCTGAATATGAATTATAATTAATAAATAACACATACGGTTCAAATTGTAAGAAATCCGGAAATTTCTTGTCGAATAGCAATTGTGAGAAACTTTGACTAATTGTTGATAACGATTCAGTGAGTCGGCTCTCGTTCTACATCCGACATCTTGTGAAATAAGTTACATTCGACCAAAAAAAGACAACATCAAGTATAATAAGGCAGCTTCAATCGCATCGCATTTTTTTTTTGATCGAGTTTTACTTATTTGGCAGAAATTCTTTCGAACGAAGAACGGGAGTGCACCCTCAGACACTTCCCCTTTAACAGGAGGAGGCAAGTGATTTTATAATGAATGAGGTATATTTGAAACAGCAGTCAATAACAATCGCCTTTCTAACCAAGAAATCCCCTATCACGTAATCTCTCAGCATGTGATTGCTATAGGTGAACAATTATAATTTTTTTAAATAAAGAATATAAACAACACGTGTTAAATAATAACTTAATATCTTGTACTTTAGAACTCAAGCATGGGATTCTTATACATACTGACAATGAATATTTTTAACATAATCTTGTAATTTGTATCTGTATCAACTTACTGTATTACCTGGCTCAATCCTGTCTTTGACATTTTTAACGTTAGTTGCAACTAATTAAAAAATTAAACTTTAGATTTCGATATCACTGTAGTTAAACAATGAAAACGACGTAAAACAAAACACATTCACTAGACGTCATATTTTTCGACGGACAGATGGAATCTCTGGAGTGACGAGCTTCTCGTTTATATTTATTCACACTATCACACGGCTCCTGGAATGTGACATACCTAATTCTACACTATGTAGACAAACACGCCCGTTAGAATCGCTTGACTTTCATTATTTTTATTAATTTACTTGTAAGAAATAATAAAAAACTTAGGCAAAAAAATTATGGATACTGCTAATAAAAATAATTATAAATAAATGTCAAAATTTGATTAGTGTGTAAAATATGCAACTTTTTACAAAAATGCAGTTGACACCATATTTATCAAATGCGATGACCGGTTAAAATATGTTTTACCGACGGCAAACTTCCATAATGCTTGTTTCCTACATGATTAGTAAATTTTGTAATGTTTGTATAAAAGCAAATATTTTTAAACGTAAATGCTTGTAATAAAATAATTAAAGTGTTAACAATTCTATAATATTTAAACGCTACTAAATTACGCTTATCAGTGCATTATCGCATCGCGATGCGCACGCGGCTTGCGTTGTACAAATAAATTTCTTTATGTGTGTTTAGTATTTCTTTTTATTACTAATTATACTTATTTATCAAAATGAATGTTGTATCTTTATAGCAGTAACTTAAATGATATTGTTCATTCAAGTGTGGGAGTAAACACTCTTAGAGTCCGATTCCTATCAGTTCCGAATTTGAGAAACGACTGTCAGAAATGTCATCACGGGGCTCGTTTTATCTCTAGGTGTATATTCGTATTTTGTCGAATTTCGGAGACTTAGTGCACAAGCGACATCCGAAATGGGTTCGAGCTTTCCAGATTTGCATAGTCTTGCAGTTCTAGAGTTGCAGAGTCTCGGATTCGGACTTTACCCATTATTCCCATTTATACAGGGTGTTATTTTAATGGTATAATAAATATCGCAACCCTCAATATAATATTCTATATAAGACGCAGTCACTTGTAGGTGTAGCCTCCTCCAGTACTTACGGTTCATAGCCAACTTCTTGATTATTTTATAGATGCTGATTTTGATCTTCTTCTTTATTTGTTCGCAATACCTACGCCATTCTTGGTCTTCGCATCTTTGTGTCTTCCCCTCATTTATCACTCTCACAAATTCGTAATTACGTAACAAATGTACAGTAAACATTTTCCACTTTTATTCTCTGTTGTTTCCAAATTACATCAATAATAAAATGATATAATTGTGAAAGATTAATTTTTAGGAAACTGTCAAAATAGATTTAGGAAAAATACAGTACAAATAAATATATTATCTTTTTTTATATGAAATGGAATGTAGCCATATCTCGCATAAACCAATTTTGACATCATGTTATTAGTCAGTTTCAAAAAAAAGGAAACTTTCCTATCTACGACTTTATTATTTAATCAGTCACCAGTCATGTATACGCCATTTGGTTCGAGTCTAATATAACAAAATTATATTATATGGTATAAAAAAACGGTATATGGTTACCAATAGACTTTAGCAATGATTGCGCAAAATTTTTACGAAATTTCAATTTTAAATTTAATTGTTTTTTTTTCTAATTATCATGAAGAAATTACATATTACGATAATTATCAACAAGCACAATAAGTAGTGTTTATTAGTTGTGAGTATTAAAATGGGGTAATAGTTTGATTAAAATTTTTATTTCAATGAACGTCCATAGCTCATTTTGTACACATAATAAACCTACATTAATTTAATTTCGTGTGTCATTTTTATTTATTTAGTAATTTCTCCAAAAAGTATTACCGATCCAATTTCCCCACTTTATAATTAACTTACTAATAAATAAGTAACGAGTTCTTAGGTTCTTCTCAGTTAACCGTGACCATGGGATCTGTAAAGGGCCTGAAACGTCGGTTTGTTTGAAAAAACAAATATACGCGATTTAAA